GGCAGGAGCAGGAGCAGGAGCAGGAGCAGCAGCAGCAGCAGCAGCAGCAGCAGCAGCAGCAGCAGCAGCAGCGGCGAGGGTGTTGCGAGGGCCGGGGCGGAGGATTCCAAGTGCAGATTCTATGATGGTCATTCCTCCTGCGCGGGCAGGAAACGAACTAGAATGCATAAGACTTCAGTCCAGCAGTGCAGACTGGCCCAGACTCGGCAGACCCTGACAGTCTGGGATTCCCCCCCGCCTCTCCTCATCCTTCGCCTCCATCCCCTGCGCGCGCAGATAGCCAGGCTATGAAGTAGCGGCCGCGCGCGTGGTGGAAAGCCTGGGTTGGGATAGTAGTTTTGGGGGAGGAGGATTCAAATTCAGTTTTTTTATGATGGGCCTGTTTTCCACCACCACCACCACCATAAGTTGGAGGGGGGAAGGAGGTGGAGGATGAGGAGAATGAGGAGGAGGAGGAGGAGGAGGAGGAGGAGGAGGAGGAGGAGGAAGGAGGGGGGGAAGGTGACTCCCTCCCCCTCCTGCTTATGGTGGTGCCGGTGGAGGACGGGCCGACCATTTCAGCCAGAGCGTGTTTCACCCATGTTTGCCATTTGGTGGGCCGTTGTGGGGCCCCAGGGCCGTCGCACAAGAGCGTTGATGACTTTGGGGCGATGCGTTGCCATCGGGAGGGACGGCCTGGGCCCGTGTTGGCCTCGTGTGTGGGCATGGGGGAAGCAGATTTGTAGATTTTTGTCGGGGGACGTGTTGCGACATGCGCGTCACGAAAGGAAGAACGTGTTGCCCCGGAACTCAACCAAGCGCCTACGGCACGGTGCAGTGAGCACACTGTTGTGATCGACCCTGGGTTCTCAGGAGTTGTCCGCGTGATTCTGCTGGCGAGATCGAGCTCCGAGCGGTCCGCTGCCCTGGAAGTCACAGAACGTGAAAATCTTCAGAGGGACAGGAGGGGAAGGGAGAGGAGGAGGAGGAGGAGGAGGAGGAGGACGAGGACGAGGAGGAGGAGGAGGAGGAGGAAAAGGAGGAGGAGGTGGAGGGGAGGATGGAGCAGGAGAAGGAGGGAGAGAGGAGCAGGAAAAGATGGAGGAGGAGGAGGAGGAAGACAAATCATCCTGGCGAAGGACCCAACCATATGCAGTTGTGAGTACCGCAGTTGTGAGTATATTCTTCGGTGGTGCCCACGAACCATATGAGGGGCGTGCCGAGATGTAGGGGGTACACAACAACAAGGAAAACGATTGGTCTAATTACGAGAGACTGAGCGCGGGTGAATCTGAGCGCGAGTGAGTCGAAGTGTGAATGAGTCTGCTTGCGAGCGAATAAATTCGCACGAATGCGATCATGGCTACGCCTCTTGTAAATGTATATGAATGTGAATGTTTCGGGTATGCCTGTCTGTGCACTCGTGACACTGAGCGTGGCCGCCGCAGAGAGCTTCCGCGGGAACCCCGGCGCCCGCACGCCGCGACGCCCACATCGGCACGCCCGTCACGAGGATCGCGCCCGCTTCATTCCCTTTTTCCCTCTTTGCCCGCGCATTCCAAAGCCCAAAGCTGCGGGCGCAGCCCGGCGCGGAGTCCCCGCGACGCGCACCGGTCGCCCCGGAAGGGTCCCAGCGACGCATGCGGGTCGTCCGCTGCACGGAGCAAAGAGAGCTAGCTAGCTAGCTGGCTGGCTGATAGCGGGCAAGGCTCTGACCGCTGGGCAGGGCGACGACGGGCGAGCGAGGCGCAGGGAAGAATGCAGCACGGAGTTCCCGCGACGCGCGCTGGTCGCCCTGGGAGGGTCCCAGCGACGCGCGCGGGTCGTCCGCGGCGCAAGGCCAAACAATTAGTTGGGCAGTCGAGAGAAGGCGCGGCTCGGGGGGGGGCGCCCCTCAGGTCAGGCCTCGCGGATAAACTCGGTGAAGCCGAGCTCCCTGGCGAGGGCCGCCGCCTCCCTCCTGTACCGCTTCGTGCGCGCCGCAAATTGCTCCAGCTGTTTCCGCAAGCCCTCCGGCGGCCCTGCCAGGAAGAGCTCGATGCGCGGCGCCCGCATGAGCAGGAGGTCCTCGTGGCGCGTGGCGCGCGAGAGCAGCGCATAGAGCTCCAGCCACCAGTCGTCGTCCTCCTTCTTGCCGTTCCCGACCTCGTGGCGGCCGCAGTCCAGGATCACGCCTGGGCGACGTCGGCCGAGGGAGCAGCGCGCCAGACAGCCGACGGCCCAGGGCGAGAGTCCACAGGACCGAGAGATGGTCCGGCTGCAGACCGCTCGCGCCCAGTAGGTTCGGCTGTAGACTGCCCAGGGGCGCCGTTCCCTCGCCCCGTCGCCTTCTCGCGTGGTGCGCCCCTGGCACGCCGCAGTGGTGATGGCCCTGCCGCGCGAGAGCGGGGGGCCCGCCTGGGTGACCTTGGAGGTGCGGAAGGTGAACGGCTCCGACGTGCGGGGCTCGATGAACACCAGCGGGCCCGCGAGGTCCCCCGTGAGGATGTCGTCGTGGCGCTTCAGGTCGTCCACGAAGGGCGCGCTCGCGTACTTCTCCATGCGCACCCAGAACCCCAGCGGCAAACGCTTCAGATAGATCCCGTTCTCCCTGTCTCTCTCGGCTTTCTGGACGTCGTCCCGACCCCGAAGGTCCACGACGATGTGCGCGATCTGCCCCTCGGCATCCTTGACGAGACCGTTCTTGAGGTCGAGCGCCTCCCGGAGCCGGATCCGCATGCCGCGTGCATCGGGGGGAGTCCGTGCACGCCACCGGTGCTCTTCGGGTTGGCACAGTTCATCATTTTGGCGGCGTCCTTGACGTTAAAGGTCGGGGCAGACCTGTCGGCGGCCTGCACGAGGAAGAGGGGCTTCTTCAGGACGTCCGCGTCCCGTTGGGCACGCACGTTCATCCACCGCGCCGCGGTGTCCCAGTAGGACCCGATCATGTGGCCGTTCTGGAACCTCTCCTCCCGGAGCCGACGATCATCGGTTTTCAGCTGCATGGCGTTCCACGTGGCCCGGATGGCCGGAGGGACCTGCCTCCCCAGTTTGCGCCGGGGGGCCATGAGATCCCTGAGCTTCGGGCCCTTGAAGCGGCTGGGCGCTTGGAGCTCGAAGCGCAGCGTCGTGTTGTTGCAGAAGAGCTTCATCACGGCCCGGTACTCTGGAGCGAGGTTGATGCCCGCCGCCGCTAGTTCCTGGAAGCTGGAGATGAGGGACACTTTGCCTCCCGTCGGACGACGACGACGGCGACGACGACATCCACCAGGCCACTCCTTCACCGCTCGTTTACAGCGACCGCAGCGAGAACACCGGAAAGACCCTCGCTGGTGGAATGGGATCTCCCGCGAATGCAAAGCAACATACATACGGGGGGAGCGGGCCTCCTCCTCCTCCTCCTCCGCCCCTTCCTTCTCCCCAGAGGTTTGGAGCTGTTCCGTGAAACCTTGAGTGTGGCGGACGCGTGGTGGCGGTGGCATTGGCGCCTTCGGTGGAGCCCCTTATGGGGCCAGGAACCGTGTGAGGGGTATGCCGAAATTCGCGTGGGAGACGCATGCGGGCGGTGGCATTGGGGTCTTCGGTGGAGCTCCCTATGGGGTCACGAAGCGCGTGAGGGGTGTGCCGAAAAGCGTGTGGGGGAACATGCGGGCGGTGGCACTGGGGCCTTCGGTGGAACTCCTTATGGGGCCACGACACGTGTGAGGGGTGTGCCGAAACGGGTGTGGGGGACGCATGCGGGCGGTGGCGTTGGGGCCTTCGGTGGAGTTCCCTACGGGGCCACGAAACGTGTGAGGGGTGTGCCGACACTGGTGTGGGGGACGCATGCGCGCGGTGGCACTGGGGCCTTCGGTGGAGCTGCCTGTGAGGCCAGGAAACGTATGAGGGGTGTGCCGAAACGGGTGTGGGGGACGCATGCGGGGGGTGGCACTGGGGCCTTCGGTGGAGCTCCTTATGGGGCCACGATACGTGTGAGGGGTGTGCCGAAACTTGGCGTGGGGGACGCATGCGGGCGGTGGCACTGGGGCCTTCGGTGGAGCTCCTCATGAATGTGTGTGTGTGTGTGTGTGTGTGTGTGTGTGTGTGTGTGTGTGGGCATGCGGGCGGTGGCATTGGGGCCTTCGGTGGAGCTCCCTATGAGGCCACGAGGCGTGTGAGAGGTGTGCCGTGTGTGGGGGACGCATGCGGGCGGTGGCACTGGAGCCTTCGGTGGAGCTCCTTATGAGGCCACGAAACGTGTGAGGGGTGTTCCGAACTGGGTGTGGGGGACGCATGCGGGCGGTGGCATTGGGGCCTTCGGTGGAGCTCCATATGGGGCCACGAAGCGTGTGAGGGGTGTGCCGAAACGGGTGTGGGGGACGCATGCGGGCGGTGGCACTGGGGCCTTCGGTGGAGCTCCCTATGAGGCCACGACATGTGTGAGGAGTGTGCCGACATGTGTGTGGGGGACGCATGCGGGGGGTGGCACTGGGGCCTTCGGTGGAGCTCCCTATGAGGCCACGAAACGTGTGAGGGGTGTGCCGAACTGGGCGTGGGGGACGCATGCGGGCGGTGGCACTGGGGCCTTCGGTGGAGCGCCTTATGGGGCCACGAAACGTGTGAGGGGTGTGCCGACATGGGTGATGATGCTGGTGATGATGACGGTCGTGATGAGGATGACGATGATGGTGATGACGATGGTGATGATGAGGAGGGTGGTGATGATGATTATGCTGATGATGATGATGATGATGATGACGCTGATGGTGATGATGATGATGATGATGATGATGATGATGATGATTATTAGTATGATGAATGATGATGATGATGATGATGATGATGATGATGATGATGGTGATGATGATGATGATGATGATGATGATGATGATGATGATGATGATGATGATGATGATGATGATGATGATGACGGGAGGAGAGAGGAAGGGGGAAGAGGAGGAAGAAGAGGAGAGGAGGAGGAGAGGATCGCGGGGCGACGTCTCTTCAAAACGAGGACCCAACACCACAGGATGGTTGGGAAAAAAAGGAGGAGGAGGAGTCAGGATGGCGAGATCGCCCACGGGATTGTGAGCATCTTGTCCGAGATAGCCGGCCACTGCAACAAGTCGCATTACAATCAGGCATGGGGCGTCACATTTCTCTTTCTCCTTCTCTTCCTCCCCCTTGTCCTCCTTGCCCATTTCTCTTGTTCTCTCCAGGTATCCCCGAGCTTGTATGACCTGGCTCAAGCCTTTCTGCTCATGCCTTCAGCTAAGGTGTGTTTCTCGGGTCCTGATGTTGGGACGCACACATGATCTACATATTCCTATTTATATATTTTTACAGGGCCGGGGACCCCGGAAAAACGGCACACGGTGCCCCCCCCCCCCCCCCCCCCACGCAAACGAATTTCGGCCTCCCCGAGCCTTTGGGGCGCTCCTGCAGAGTGCTCCGTGTCTGTCCTGCGAGTGCGACGCGAAAAAAAAAAAACACGACGGCCAAAGAGGGCCCCGAGACACCCAAAGATCGGCCCAAGACGCCCAATCTGGGCCCAAGACTGCCCAAGACGCGTCCAAGACGCCCCCAGAGACCCCCAAGAGGCCTCCCAAGAGAGCCCCGAGAGGCTACAATTGTTGATTATCCTATGTGTTTTTCGATGTTTTTGGCCTTTTCGCTTTTCCCGCTTCCCGACGCTCCACCATGGCCAAAGAGGCTCCCTAGATCGCCCCAGTACTGCCCAAGAGGCCCCCAAGAAGGCCCCAACACGGTCCAGGAGGGCTCCGAGACCGCCCAAGAGGCGCCCAAGACGGCCCAAGAGAGCACCAAGACGGCCCCAGGAGAGACCCAAGAGGGCGCCCAAAAATTCAAAAACTACATTTTCCGCCGCGAGAGGGCCCCAAGAGGCCCGGAGAGAGCCCCATGAGGCCCCAAGAGGCTCCCAAGAGGCCTCAAGGAGCCCCCAAGAGGCCCCCAAGAGGCCCCAAAAAGATCCCCAGAACCCCAGAACACCCCCAAGAGGCTTCAAAACTGCCTCACAGAGGGCCCCGAGAGGCGCACCACGAGATCCCAACACAGCGGTCTCCCCCTCTCATTATCCCTTCTCTTTGTCGTCGCCTTCTTCGTCGTCGTCGTTGTCGTATCAAATGGCGCAGCGTGGCCATTTTTGGTTCAAACCACCGAAGGACCCAAGAGCTTCTTCTCCTCTTCCTCATTCTCTTCCTCCTCTACCTCCTCCTCCTCCTTCTCCTAATTCCCCGTGATGTTTCACGTTCCGCCCCGCCAAACGTCTAGCAGAAGCAGCTTTCCTCACTCTCCCAAGTCTCGGCTGCGGATTTTTTCCGCGACACCTCGGCTGCACCCCAGATATCCACCTAATATGTCCTCCTCATCCTCTTCCTCCTCTTCATCCTCCTCCTCGTCCTCCTTCTCCTTCTCCTCGTCCTCTTCATGTTCCTCCTCCCGCCTCGACTGAGCTTCTCGCAGCACTCAACACAAACCGTCGGGGCCACGGCGCCATCTCATCCGGACGCGCTGTTGGGAACCAGGGTTTTTGTGACATGTCGGAGACCAGGCCGTCGGGAACCTTCGGTTTCAGCGCGCCTCCTGGGGAAACATTCTCTGGGGGCTCACGGCCGCGCGAACACTTGCAGCGTCCCCCTCCTCTTCCTCCTCCTCCTCCTTCTCCTCATCCTCTTCAATTTCCTCTTCCCGCTTGCCAAGTTTGTACGAAAACCAGTCTCCCTCGCTCTCCCACCGGCGTTTTGATGATTCCTTCCACAGCCACTTCGGCTGCATCCCTGATTTTATCACACTGAACGATGCCTCCCAGGGATGGGGAGAATGGGCAAAAAAAGAAACGGAGAGGGGGGAGAGGCTCCGACCTCAGAAGCGCCTTGCTTCGCATCGGTCCCGCCGTTTTCGCTTGAGACATCATCGCAGCTCTGGGGCCCGAGACACTCAGTTGATGTGTTCCAGCCACTGTCGCCTGAGACACTTTCGCAAGTCTCACTTCGGAGGTGTCTTGCACCGTGGTGGTTCGGCCACTTTCGCGTGCGACTTCTCGCAACTCTAAGTTCAAGGATGCCCTGAGCAGAGGTGTTCAGACCACTCCTCGCTTGAAACTTCCTCGCGCGGCTGACTTCGGATATGCCCTCCCCTGAGCGGAGGTGTTCAGGCCATTTTCACCCGGGACGTCCTCGCAACGCTGACCTCGGCGACGCACTGTCCCATGGTAGTCTGACCACGTTTGCCTGAGACCCTCGCGCCTTTTAGTGGCGCGATGATATGGGCAACTGGTCAGGCCACTGCCGGCTGATATACGCATGCGTATGCGCACACATAGTTACACTGACAAGTTGCATATACATGTACATATCCATACAAACGTATCTACATGTGTACATATGTACTATGCATTCATCGACGCATGTGTGTGCGCATGCACGCACGCTCGCACTCCGCTAGCGCGCGAACTCCAAAGGACCAAAGTGCATGGCGCGCAGCGCCAATGCAGTCTTGTATATATATATATATATACATACACACATCTCTCTCTCTCTCTCTCTCTCTCTCTCTCTCTCTCTCTCTCTCTCTCTCTCTCTCTCTCTCTCTCTTCCCACATACTTATTTTTACTACCAAGGACCCCCCCCCGAAATCGGACCACCCGAATCCGGGGCCCCCGGCGGGGCCGTCTGGACCCCCCGGATCCGTGGCCCCAGGGAACCCTTGGACTCCCATGCAGGAGGCCCCCCCAGGTGTTTCAGTGCTCGTGGAAGCCCTTGCTGGGCCTAGACAGCGGGCCCAAATCGGTCAGGAGGGCGGCCGAATGCCCCCCCCGAGGGCCCCAAGAGGCCCCAGACATCCACCAGACGTTTGAAGACGACCCAAAGAAGACACCCAAGAGGCTTCCCAAACGCAGAAAACATTGATTTTCCAAAGTTTGTTGTATGATTCGGGGAATGCCCCGTTTTTCAGTTTTCTTGGTGTCCGAGACCGCCCGGGAGGCTCGAACATCACAACAAAACCATCCGAAAGGGCTTCCAGACAGTCCAGGAGATCCCCAAGACGGCACAACAGGGTTCCAAGAGTCCTAAGAAAGCCCCATGACGGCCCAAGATGGCCCCAAGACACCCTCCGAAGTATTCCAAATCGTGGCCCGTTCGTTCCGTTCAGGGAGACCGCGGTCGGAGGCACGGTGGCCCGAGGAAACCACCAGAGGCCTCCAGAAGACGCCCAGCAGGCCTCCAGAAGGCTTTACGCAAACCTGAAAAAACTTCCGTGAGACCCCCAGAGATTCTCCAAGGAGGAGCCTCCGCAAAAAGTGAGGAGTATGGGGGAGAATTCGCAGGGTAGGGCGAGAATGAGGAACAAAAAACACTTGAGGAAGGATACCGAATAGCATTATTAGAACGGCGATGCCGGAGAAGGCAACAAGGAGTTATCGCTAAATTGTCCGTATGACCTTCCTGCCAGTCCGCCTGCATGCCAAACAGGTTAACCGTATAAGCATGCACTCATTTGTGTAGTTACGCACGCTGCCGCCGCAGCGCTTGGGGCAGCTGCGCAGCCAGGCCGCAGCGGTGCGCGGGCGTGGCGCTCCGTGGTTCCCTGCGCGGCCCGCGGTGGGCTGCCGGCCTGCGGCTTCCTCGGGCCGGTCGGCGGGGGGAGCCCGCTTCTCGCGGGAGCCGTGGCGGGCACCTCCTGCCGGGAAGGGGGAGGGGGAGGGGGAGGGGGAGGGGGAGGAGGAGAGAGGAGGAGG